AGTTGCAGGATACAACATCAAGGTGCAAAAATTCATTGCCTTCCTGCATAATAACAACAAAACTTCAGAAAAGAAATTTAAAAAATTGTTTTGCAATTGCAACCAAAAGAATAAAACACATAAAAATAAACTTAGCAAAGAATGTTAAAGATCTATATAATAAAAATTACAAAGCATTATTAAAAGAGATTGAAAAAGATACAACAAAATGGAAAAATATTCCGTGTTCATGGATTGAGAGCATCAACATAGCTAAAATGGCCATATTACCAAAGCAATATACAGATTTAATACAATCCCCATAAAAACCCCAATGCCATTTTTTAAAGAAATAGAACAAGAAATCATCATATTTGTATGGAACCACAGAAGACCCTGAATAACCAAAGCAATACTGAGAGGTATCATGCTACCCAAGTTCAAATTATACTGCAGAGTTATGATAATCAAAACATCATGGTATTGTCAGTAAAACAGATACACAGGTCAATGCAACAGAATAGAGAGCCCAGCTATAAAATCACATGTATATGGACAGATAATTTTTTACAAAGGACCTAGAAACACTTAATGGAGTAAAGACAGTCTCTTCAATAAATAGTGCTGGGAAAACTGGAAAGCTACATGCAAACAAATGAAACTGGGTGACTCTTTGTCCCCATGTACAAAAATTAATTCAAAATGGATCAGAGAACTAAATATAAGACTCAAAACAATAAGTTGCATAAAAGAAAATATAGGTACCAAAGTTATGGACCTGGGTCACAGAGAACATTTTATGAACATGACCTCAAGGGCAAGGGAAGTAAAGGAAAAAATAAATGAATGGGACTATATCAAACTAAAAAGATTCTGCACAGCAAGAGAAACTGTCAAAACAAAGAAGCAGCCAACCAGATGGGAGTTAACGTTCCCAAACAGTAGCTCTGACAAAAGTTTAATTTCCAAAATATATAAAGAACTCATAAAACTCAACACCAAACATACAACCCAATCAAAAAGTGGGCAGAGGACATGAAAATACACCTCTCTTAAGAAGACATATGAACAGCCAATAGATATATGAAAAGATATTCAACCTCACCGGCAACCAGGGAAATGCAAATCAAAACAATGATGAGATACCACCTTACACCTGTTAGACTGGCCATTATCAACAAGACAAGCAACAAGTGTTGGAGAGGTTGTGGGAAAAAGGAAACCCTCATTCACTACTGATGGGAATGTAGACTGATACAACCACTATGGAAAGCAATCTGGCGATTCCTCAAAAAATTAAGAATATTGCCATATGACCCAGCAATCCCATTCCTGGGTATATATTTGAAAAACTCAAAATCATGTATTCGCAAAGATATATATACACCCCTATGTTCATTGCAGCTTTATTCATGGTGGCCAAGACAAGGAAACAACCAAAGTGTCCCATGATATAGAAGATGTGGTTTGTATACACAATGGAATACTACTCAGCCAAAGAAAGGATGAAAAAGCACCATTTGCAACAACATGGATGGACATTGAGAACATTATACTAAATTAAATAAGTCAGTCAGAAAAAGCTAAGAACCAAATGATTTCACTCATATGTGGGATATAAAACTGAAACTCATGAACACAAACAGCAGTGCGGTGGTTGTCAGAGGGAAGGGATGGGGGGTGAAGGGGTTCTAATATAAGGTGACAGAAGATTTGACTTTGGGTGGTGGGCACATAATGCAGTACACCAATCTTATAACATAGAAACCCACATAGGAAACCTATATGTTCATATTGACCAATGTCACTTCAATCAATTTAATAAATAAAATAAATATGTTCTGACTAGAGTAATGACCATAAAAATCAAAAAAGGAAGTTAGGTTGAGAGATATTTAGAATATAGAGCCACAAATTGAAAGAATATATGCATCAAACATATAGCCATACCGAAACCGGTTTGGCTCAGTGGTAGAGCGTCGGTCTGCGGACTGAAAGGTCCCAGGTTTGATTCCGATCAAGGGCATGTACATTGGTTGCGGGCACATCCCCAGTAGGGGGTGTGCAAGAGGCAGCTGGTCGATGTTTCTTTCTCATCGATGTTTCTAGCTCTCTATCTCTCTCTCCTCCTCTCTGTAAAAAATCAATAAAATATATATATTTTTAAAAAACAATCTATAGCCAACCAAGAATTAATAACAGAATTTAGTTTTTAAATGCCCAAAATTTATAGGAAAAAGACAAAAATTGTGTATAGGAAATTGATAGACTAGGAAATATGAATGCCTAATAAACATATATAAAAAAGTTCAATCTGTGCTCAAACTGAGGAATGTGAATTAAGAACACAAGGAGTGGTCTTTCTCCTCCAAATTGACAAAAATGAAACTTAACAACACCAATTATTGTAGAAAATGCAGATTAGCAGGACCTTCATACTGCAGTTGGGAGAATAAACTGATACAATCCTATGGAACAATGGATCATAAGCTTGAAAGTTAGGCATTCACATTCTCTACACACCAGCAATTCCATTCCTGAGAAACCCTGGAAAACTACTCCATGTGTTAACAGAAGACAGGAAAGAGAATACTTTTAGTAACCCTACTTTTTTGTTGTTTTTGTTAATCCTCACCAAGGATATCTTTCTATTGATTTTTAGAGAGAGTAGAAGGGAGGAGGATAGACAGAAACATTGAATGAGAGAAACAACTATTGGTTGCCTCTTACAGTTGCCCCAACCACAGCCCTGTAAGAACTGGCAACCAGGTATGTGTGCCTTTGACTGGAATCAAACCAGGGACCCTTCAGTCTTAGGGCCTATGCTCTATCCACTGAGCCAAACTGGTTAGGGCAGCCCTACTCTTAGGAGAAAAAATAATAAAAGGAAACAACCTAAATGTTAATTAGCAAAAGAATCCTATCCTATCTACCGTGTTTCCCCGAAAATAAAACATCCTCCAAAAATAAGACCTACTTATAGGTTTCCTTCTGAGTGAAATATAAGGCATCCCCCCCGAAAATAAGGTCCCCCTTAGGCTCTGTCTCAGAAACTTTGTGAAACCTAAACTGCAAGAAGTTGTGACTTGGGTGAAGAATTCATGGGAGAAAACCACTGACAGTTGCATTGCAAATGCACTGTGAGCAGGCCACCTTGACAAGAAGTACTCATTTAAAGACAGTGCTATTGCTAAACATGAGAGATTTGGTCCACTGATTCTGAAAGAAATGGAGTCACAAGAAATTCACCAGGAAATTCAGGAATTGGATTGTTATGATGATGTTCCAGAAGATGATGACATGATTGTCATTGAATAAATGAGTAAATTCTTGATACTGTAGGGTTCACAGTTTGTCTGGTTTGTGTTGACAACTACAATACTACCGTACCATATACAGGTAATAAATTTCCTTTATTTTCATTTAACAATAAATGTGTACCGTATTCTTCTTCATGGAAAAATAAGACATTCCCTGAAAATAAGACCTAGCACATCTTTGAGAGCAAAAATTAATATAAGACACTGTCTTATTTTCGGGGAAACAGGGTAATAAAAGAGTGATATGCAAATTAACCATCACTCTGCCATGCCCACCAGCCAATCAGAGAAATTATGCAAATTAACCCCAACTAAGATGGCTGTAGCCACAGAGAGCAGAAGGGAAGCTTGGGTTTCCCCAGCAATGGAGGAGGCCAAGCTTTCTGCCTGCCCTTGCTGGCCTAGGCCTCCACTCAAGGGTACAAAGTTTCAATTATAGAAGGTAAACAAATCCAAACAGAAATGGCAGCAGCCATGGAGCAAGCAGAAACTTGACTTGACTCCACCACAGGCTACAAAATATCAACTGTAGAAGATAAATAAACCCCAGATACTAGGACTTCCGCTTGGGTCGCCAGGGAATATGGCTGGTCTGCAAACTACCACAGGCCCCTCACCCAGGCTGCACTATGCCCCAAGAAAACCCCCACCCTGATCAGGGACATCCTTCAGGGCAAACCAGCAGGCCCCCACCCTTGAACCAGGCCTCTATCCTATCTAATAAAAGAGTAATATGCAGATTGACCATCACTCCAACACACAAAATTGCTGTCCCCATGTGGTCAAAGATCCTGTCCCCATGTAGACACAAGATGGCCACCACAAGATGGCCAGCAGGGCTGGGCGGTTGAAAGGGACCAGGCTGGCAGAGGAAGGAAGTTGGGGGTGACTGGACATGCAAGGAAGGGCAGTTAGGGGTCACCAGGCCTACAGAGGACAGCAGTTAGGGGTAATCAGGACTGCAGGGGATGGCAGTTAGGGGCATACAGGCTGGCATGGGAGCAGTTAGGCATCAATCAGACTGGCAGGAAAGTGGTTAGGGGTGATCAGGCTGGCAGGCAGAAGAGGTTAGGGGCAATCAGGAAGGCAGGCAGGCAAGCAGTTGGGAGCCAGCAGTCCTGGATTGTGAGAGGGATGTCTGACTGCTGTTTAGGCCAGATCCCACTAGTCCGAGATTGGAGAGGTGCAGGCCTCCCCCACCCCATGCACAAATTTCATGCACCAGGCCTCTAGTATAATATAAGGCTAATATGCAAATTTACTGAACAGAGAAATGACTGGTCGCTATGATGTGCACTGACCACCAGGGGACAGACACTCAATGCAAGAGCTGCCCCTGGTCAGTGCACTCCCATAGGGGGAATGACACTTAGCCAGAAGCCCTGAGCTGGGTTCACAGCTGATGAGCACAGCGGCAGTGGAGGGAGCCTCTTCCACCTCCACAGCAGCCCTAAGGATGTCCAACTGACAGCGTAGGTCCATCAGTAGGACATCCCCCGAAGGCTCCTGGACTGTGAGAGGATGCAGGCCAGGCTGAGGGACAACCCCCGGCCCCCCAAGTGCACAAATTTCATGCACTGGGTCTCTAGTCAATTTCATGCACTGGGTCTCTAGTTTTATAAAAGATATGCAAGCAGTCATTCTAAGCAAAATATTAAAATTCCATTAATAGCATAGTAAGCATTATTCAAGACTTTATACCTTGTTTCTCTTTGCCTTCATTTGGGTTTTTGCTAATAGAATAATCATGTTGATCTCAGGCTTATTCAAAGTGGCCCCATCCAACACCTGAATGGCCGCCTCATGGTTTTCACAAAATGAATAAATGAGTGCTTGCTGTATAGGACTCAACTCAATGAGACCTAAAATAAAAGGAAAGCTTATCAATACATTGACCAAGAATCTAGGATTTAGAATACATATAATATTTTGATCAATGATCTATCTTTTAATATGAATTAACAAATCAATATGATACTAAAATCTATTTTCCATCAACGAACAGTAAGACATTTCAACAAAAACAAAAAACAAAATAAAAATGTAAGCCTGGTATTTCCTATAATAACCTCTCTCACAAAATTCACTGTTTTGAAGCATTTTACTATTGATTATATGCAAATGAAATGGAACTTTTAAAGCTTTAAAAGTCTAACTTAGATTTTCAAGTGAATTCTTCAAGCTATCTATGCATAGCTTTTGCAAATACCATAAACATTTTAAAGAAGCATTTACTTTTAAGTTGAGGCCATTATAATTTTACATTAATTATATTTACCTTTGTTCATTTCTGCTACTTGGTAAATAGTGAACTTTGCAAGATCATAACATTTCATCCTAAGAAGATATTGTCCTCTGGAAGAAATAATGCCCTTTTAATTCTAAGCTTGAAAATTTTTTCCACAACAAAGTTTCTTATAACCAGTTACTTGTAATTTTGTAATTATAATACATATACGTATACTTACATATGTATGATAAAAACAATGTGAAAATTATAAACATTTTATATTGTCTAAATGAACCAACTAGCTTGGAGATGTGATGAGAAAACAATTTAGGAGATATGAAGCTGAAAAAAGAAAAAGCTCAAATCTTTTTGCAATTACTGTATTTAAAATGTTAAACTCTGCCGAAGCTGGTTTGGCTCAGTGGTAGAGCGTCGGTCTGCGGACTGAAAGGTCCCAGGTTCAATTCCGGTCAAGGGCATGTACATTGGTTGCAGGCACATCCCCGGTAGGGGGTGTGCAGGAGGCAGCTGGTCAATGTTTCTCTCTCATCGATGTTTCTAGCTCTCTCTCTCTCTCCTTTCCTCTTTGTAAAATATCAATAAAATATATTTTAAAATGTTAAACTCTATTGCTAAGAAATTAATTTAAAAAATGAACACAGTTCAAGTACAGAAAAGTGGAAAAGTATTACATAAATTGTTAAAATGTGGTCCAAGGGTTTAAAAACAAAGCAAGCCCTTATCAGAAAGCATTATTCTATTCCATTTTCCTATATCTATATGTCCATTTCCTGAGTTAGAGACAATAACATTTTTTTGTGATAACTCATAATGTTCAATGAGTCTCTTTAGAGAAAACTCTATGGCATTTGAAATACAATTCAATGTGTCACTTTTTCCCCCCACTGAATTAGCTGAGGTTCACATTTGGTACCTCTGTGGACATAATCAAATAATTGCTCAAAATACTATTTTACTTTCATGAGCCCCGGTGATAATTGCATAACCAGTAATGTAGAGAGGCCTGAAATAATTTAAAACATGAAATGGTTGTGTTTTGATGAAAGGATAGAGCAAAGGGAAAGATATGGCTATCTTATAACTTTTCTTCAAGCTTAACAAAATCAATAGCTATATCTGACTTGATGTTTGGGTCTTGGCCGCCGCTGAAAGATTAAATGTAAAAGAAGATCACTGGAAAGATCAAGAGAGGACGTGAAGATGTGATTTCTATGCCAATACCTTATTATATATAACTCGATTCGATCCGGCTGAAGGTGGATAGCACGAGTTATCTCTCTTACTGCCTTTTGCAATTTATGCACCTGTTGATTGATAAACAGAAACTTAGCTCATAATAACACTCCTTTCTGGTGTTTATTCCATGCCATTCTTCAATACAGAAGTTTTGCAGAAACATTTCCTAATACATGTTTTTCTTAAAAATTATCATAGCAGCCCAGCCAGTATGGCTCAGTGGTTGAGCACCAACCCATGAACCAGGAGGTCATGGTTTGATTCCTGATCAGGGCACATGCCCAGTTGCACATGAACAAAAGATATAAGTATATTGCATTTGGTAAGGCCCATGCAGTAGGCAACTGATCAATTATTCTCTCTTATCGTTGATGTTTCTTTCTCTCCTTCTCCCTTCCTTCTTCTGAAATCAATGAAAACATTTTTTTTTAAGAGTTATCATGGTAAATGGGATACAAAGAAATAAAAAGAAAAGTTTGTAATGCAGTGTTTTGGTTTTTAAAAATAAGATACCTTTAATTTTGAAGAATTTTTACACATACCTACATATATAATTTTATATAAATGTAATTATATCATATATTTTGGGTTGTTTTCCTTTTTTTTGTTTTGTTTTGTTTATCTTTTCAGTCCCCCCCCCCCTCCTCATCTATAACACCTTTTGCACCAAACTTTATTCATGTAAAGGAGGGTAAAATTGAAAGTAAAAGTCAATTCCATTTAAAAATTAGGGGGAACAAAGAGGCTTTCACTTAAAATTAGTAAGTAAATTAATAAATAAAACAAAATAAAAGAACAAGAAAAAAGGTGGCTGTTTAAAATCAATATAGACATTCTAAACATTGATTATTTCCTTAATGCTGGTCACAGAAGCATAATCTGATTTGTACAAATTTAGTGACAAAAACTTATTATCACTGGGAATATTATGAAAGGAGTTCCACAGAAAGCCCAGCAAAATGAATCTGGACAAGCAATGGCTCCTCTACTGCACTGACATGGTGATGCCAAAAGGAGAATGCACTCATTTGTGCATGGAAGCAGAAATTGTCCAACTGTTTGGAGGAAAGGATAAGTGGGGTCAAAAGAGGGAACCGGAAAGGAGAGAGTTTGAGATGTATTTAAATTAACTGGAGAATTTCTGTGGGACTTCAGGCCTGCTGCTTCTCGTGCTGACCCTGCTCAGGTTGGTGTAAGTATTAAATCATCTATTCATATGTCTGCTCCACCCGTAAATATTTATACATTGAAACCCTGGTTGGGAAACATGGAGGCTCACTCTCTGATCTTTATAAGCTGACCTGGGGTTGGACTTCTCCAGACAGCCTTAGATTTGCTTCTCCCTGGAGGCTGAGCGCACACAGTAGGCATATGTGTTCTTCTATATGCAAACGGTTTGATTTGTGAATGTTTTATTTACATTGAATTATATTGTACATACTTTATACTCTTTTATGAATCTTGTTTTTCTTATACAGTCAGCTGATATTCTGTTTTAAGTTAAATTTATTGGTGTAACATTGGTTAATAGCATTATAAAGGTTTCAAGCGTACAATTCTATAGGACATCATCAGTATATGAGGTCATCACATGCTTACTACCCAAACCTAGTCGTCTTCTTACACCATATGATATAGTTCTAGTTGTTTTTTTTTTTTGTTTGTTTGTTTGTTTTTGTGTTAAATATATTTTATTGATTTTTTACAGAGAAGAAAGGAGAGGGATAGAGAGCTAGAAACATCGATGAGAGAGAGGCATCGATCAGCCGCCTTCAGCACACCTCCCACCGGGGATGTGCCCCCAACCACAGTACATCCCTTGACTGGAATTGAACCCGGGACCCTTCAGTCCGCAGGCCGACGCTCTCTCCACTGAGCCAAACTGGTCTCGGCTAGTTGTTTTTTTATTGACTACATAACATTCTCTGTATGAATACAGCACAACTTATTCCCTACTGTGCAGAGATTTTTGCCTCCTCAGAACAATGAGTTTTTGAATGCATGTCCTTATACCCTGACATAATGCTGGGGCTTTGGTTTCTAAGTGCACTCAAAGGAAATTTCAGAAGCCTTCAGCTCCAACAACAGGTAGGCAAGCAAAAGGACCACACACCACAAGATGTCCATCCCTTTCCCAGCAGGAGTCAAGAGCAAACTTTCCCTGGGGACCACACTAACCCTAATCTGCCCTGGGCTTCACACCTCTATCATGAGGAAGGTAAGAGCTCCGAATGGGATTCTAGTCACACTGCGTCCTGAGAGGAGACGTAGACAGTGGAGACTGGAGCCTCCAGCCAAATCTCCTAGGAGAGGCAGTGTGAGGAAGAAAAAAACAAACGAAAAAACCCTACTTTAATAGTGATTTTGAAGTGGAGTTTTATGTTTGTTTTTGTGGGGTTGGTGTTCTGTTTCTGTGGCTCACCCTCACACCACAATCTTCCTAATCTGATGGAAATGAGTGTGACTAATGGATTTGGAGGAGACAAGAGCAAAAAAGTATTGAGCCAAGTCACATGGGCTGCTGCAGGCCTTTCTTTGGCTTTTGCAGGATTTGGCTTTTATTCTGAGCGCAAAGGGAAGCTATTGAAGGATTCTGGGCAAAGAAGTGAAATAATCTGGCATGTTTTAACAGGATCACTATGGCTGCTGTGTTGAAAATCCATCATAAAGGAGTAAAGAACAGAAGAAGACCAGAAGGCTACTGCAATAGTCCTAATGAGAAATGACAGGGTGTTGGTTAGTGGGGGAGTAGTGGAAAGGGATATCTATTTTGAAAGGCAGAGACAACAGTGTTTTTCTCCAGAAAGTTAATATGGTTGGAGTCAGCTAAGACTTCCTGTTTATTGTATTGTTTGAATTTGTTACATAAAGGATATGCTACATTTTTTAATTCAAATAACATATAAATCTAAACAAAATCTAAGGGAAAGCATTAGTGAGTAGGATCCCATTTTATGCATAAATTTCATTCCACAAACCCATCACACACACACACACACACACACACACACACACACACACACACACAACTGGTAGGCTCCCAAATGTTAATAGCAGTTAACTGTAAAGAATGAAATCATCAGTAGTTTTAAATTTATCTGTGACTATATACAAGTAAAAGTATCATATGCAACAAATATATGTTGCTTTTGTAATTAGGAAAAAAATGTATTTAAAAAAATGAAAGACAAAAAGTCATACCTCATCAATACAGTCTTTATAACTGGGCAATTATAGTTAACTATATCTACTTAATGTTTATGGCTTATAAATGCATTAGCCACTGCAATTATCTGAAAAAACACATTAACATGTTTTAAATTATATTGAACAAACATCCAGAAATTTAAAACTTTTTAAAAAAATCAAGGTTCTCAAACCTTAAATACCTTACTGTAAGTTTCTGCTAGACACATATAGCTTTGAATATATGAAGGATCAATTTTAATAGCCTCGGAAAAATGCCAAGTGGCGTCAATGTAGTTATCTAAATGTAGCAGATCTATGATGCCAATATTTATATAAGCCAAAGTAACAGTTCTAAAAAACAAAAAATGAGAAAGCAAAATCTTGTTAGACATTTTAATTACTACAATGAATTCTTCAATTATGAATGAACCTAATGAAATACATCTATTTATAGCAGGTTTCTTTTAATGCTTTACTAAAGCAAAGTAAGTTAACCAAACACTCTCTGTTAGAAATTATCAACACCTTTATAAAATCCTTAGCAGGGAATGAACATTTTTTGAGTTTGGGCCAGGAACAGAATTCCTGAGGTCTGACTTAGCAGTACTTTACTCTTCCTTTATTTAATCTTGATTTATCTTGAATTACAAGCTTAGTTTTCCTCAATTCAAAAGTTTCTGGGCCCTCAGCAGGTGGCTCAGTGGGTTGGAGTGTCCTCCTGTATACCAAAAGGCTGCTGATTTGATTCCCAGTTAAGGCATATACATAGGTTGCAGGTTCAATCCCCAGTCGGGGTGCAACCAACTGATGCTTCTCTTTCACATCAATGTTTCCTTTAACCATACACACAAACATATCCATCCATCCTTGGGGAAGATTTAAAAAAAAAAAAAAAGGTTTTGCCTCAGGTTCTAGTATATTCGCCATGAGAAACAATGAGAAATAATGACAGTCTCAAGGTTTGTGGTTAAATATCCTCTCCACATAGGTATTAACCCAGCTCCTTTTCTAGAGCAAATAAATGTTTTCTCTCTTAGAGTAAAACAATTTTCAGAGTAAATGACCTTAGAAATTACCTACTCAATTTCCCTGTTTCCTTATCCTACACCCCAACTTCATGGAAGCCCTGTGCCCTTACCTACAAGATGCAAAAGTTCTCATTGCCCATGTTCCAGCTTTTTGCAACTGAAACTCTTGTCTTTCCATTTCTGACTCAACATTATCAAAAAGAAAAGCACTGTGGCTATTATGGAGCCATACTCCATGACTTTCCTGGACAAGTGTAACATTTGCCTTATTGATAAGCTAAGTAAACAGTCTGGTGGTTAGCATGGAATCCCCATGCTTTATTCCTCTTTCTGACATCTTCCATTTAAATAAAGGCTTCATTCAATTTATTTAATTAAATCTTTATAGCTTAACTTTCTGACTAGTGTATATAGCTTTCAGTCTGTATTTCTTCCTTATACATACTAGTTCTAAATATTATTGGCTTTTTTTCCTATTGTTTTACTAAATAAAATGAAGTCAGAAGTTCTAAATAGAGGTTTCCTTCTATTGAGTTGTGTGTTGTGCATAGCAATGATATATCAAGCAGAATATTTTCTCACTAGAGGTCCAGTGCACCTTCAGCCCAGCCTGCACCCTCTCCAATCCGGAACCCCTCAGCGATGTCCAGTTTAGGCCAGTTTAGGCCTGATCTGGGAACCTGGCTCCTAACTGCTCACCTTCCCTCCTGCCTGATTGCCCCTAACTGCTCCCCGCTGCTAGCCTAGTCACCCCCAACTTTCCTGTCTGCTGGTGTAGTCACCCCCAACTTTCCCCCACCCGGCAGTCTCGTCTCCCCTAATTGCCCCCTTGCTGGCCTGGTTGCCCCCAACTGCCCTCCTCCTGCCACTCTGGTTACCCCTAATTGGCCCCAACTGGCCTGGTTACCCCTTACGGCATGCCCCCCATGCCAGCCTGGTCACCTCCAACTGCCCCCCTGGTGGCCTGGTCACCCTTCACTAATCCCCTTCTGCTATCCTGATGCCCCTCACTGCCCCTCCCCCCCCCCCCCCCCCGCCTGCCTGGTTGTCCCCAACTGCTTCCCCTGCAGGCCTGGTCACCACATGCAGCCTGCTATTCAGTCATTGGTGGCCCCTCACTAATCCCCCTGCCAGCCGGGTCATCCCATGCAGCCTGTTCGCCATCCATTTGGTTGTGATGGCCACTTAGGCTTTTATATATGTAGATTATTTTAAAATTTGATGACAGTGTTTCATAAAGTTAACTTTAAAAAGCTCTAATCTGGGTTCCTCCAACCTGCTTTTAAAAAAAACGTGTGGGGTTTATTTTGTCATTCATGGATTTAATTCCTTATAAACTATTCAATCTCTAAAGTTTTCAAAACCATCTGGGGCAAAACAGATGTATTCAACAGGTCTTATTTTAGAAGTAATCTTTAAAAATAATATTCTAATTCTAGCATAACTTCATAATTATATCATTTTTACCAAGTATTAATGATGAGGGGGAAAAGCTTTTTCTTCCATTGTTTATTAAAAAGTTTATACAAAAAGGATATTAGTAAAAAATGGAAAGGAGAACCTACCTTTCTAAAGAAATAACAGTTTCAAAATCACAAATTGCCAGCAACCAAAGTTTTAGATGTGCATAGAGTATGCCCCGATGTAGGAAACAACCAAGATTCTCATAGCCATCATTTATGAGAGCTTGAAAATAAAAATATATCTCTTATTCACGTTCTGAACAAACATATCTGAGTTATAGTTCAGTCTATACCCTTCCTACATCTCTTTTTTAAACATTCTATAAAGGAAAGCATGTATACAATGATTTTATATGTATTTATTTGAAGAGTACAAAATAGTATTCATTTAAAATGTATTTGTTTATGAGTATCCATGTGGTTCTCATGGTTCACACACTCATTAGAGCTGGAAGAAATCCTGGTGGAAATCTATGATAGGCCACTCACTTTACAGATGAAAAGATTAGGGTCCAGTGGGGGTGGGGCTGGGCCTCTAGTAATATGCATATTATATTAATCATCCTTTATATGTGAAGTTGAAAATGATGTACCTGAAACACTATAATCCTGTAGTGCTCTAAAAGGATTACCCTTTCTAAATATGCAGCCTCTATAATAATACGCTAGCCAGTTATTAGGATCCAAGTGAATTGCAGCAGAAAAATCTTGAGTTGCTTGCTTATAAAACTGTCGTTTAAAATATGATTTCCCTCGGTATGTCCTAGAAAGAGAAAAGAAGTTAATCTTAACATGTATTGCAGAACAGATATTTTGTCTTTTTGGCAAACCTATACAATTAATTTCACATTTAAAAATTTGTGATTGGCCCTGGCCAGGTATCTCAATGGTTAGAGCATCATCCTGATTGGCCAAGGTTGCAGGTTTGACTACTGGTCAGGGCACATGCAAGAATCAACTAACAAATGCATGAATTAGTAGAACAACAAACTTCTCTCTCATGCTCTCCCTTTCGCTCTCTCACTAAAATCCTACCTAATAAAAGAGTAATATGCAAACTAACCATCAGTCTGCTACACCACAAGCCATGCCTGCCAGCCACACCCACCAGCCAATCAGAGCAAATATGCAAATTAACCCGTTATTACTCTCTATTAATATTTGACAAAGGAGACAGAAGAATACAACAGAGACAGTCTCTTCAATAAATGGTGTTGGGAAAATTGGACAGATACAAGCAAAAAAATGAAGCTCTATCACCAACTTACACAATACACAAAAATAAACTCAAAATGGTTAAACGACTTAAATGTAAGATGGGAAACCATAAAAGTCTTAGCAGACTCCATAAGCAGCAAAATATAAGATATATGTCTTAGCAATATCTTTACCAATACAGCTTCTAGAGCAATGGAAACTAGGGAGAAAATAAACAAATGGAACTACATCAAAATAAAAAGCTTCTGCACAGCAAAAGAAACCATCAACAGAACAACAAGAAAGCCCACTGCATGGGAGAACATATTCGCCAATGCTATCTATACTAATAAAAGGGTAATATGCTAATTAGACCGACATCCTTCTGGACAAAGCCAGGGGCATGGCCAGCCTGAAAACACCTGCAGCCCCTGGCCCAGGCCACCCTGCCCCCTAGCGGGACCCAACCCTGATCGGGGGCATGGCTAGCCTACAAACTGCCCCAGGCCCTCACCCAGGCCAGCCTCACCCCTCAGCAGGGACCTCCCACCCCAATCACGCCCAGCTTGAAAAGTATCCCAGGCCCCTTGCCCAGGGTGGCCCTGCCCCCATTCAGGGACCCCCTCCACCCCGGTCAGGAGGTGGCTGGTCTGCAAACTGCCCCAGACTCTTCACCCAGGCAGGCCCCACTCCCCTGTGGGGACCCCCACCCTGATCTGGTGTGTGGCTGGCCTGCAAACCACAAGCGGACCCTCACCCAGTCTGATCCACCCCCCAGCAAAGCCCCCAACCCCGATAAGGGGCGCAGCTGGACTATAAACTGCCCCAGGATCCTCACCCAGGCCGGCCTCATCCTACAGCAGGAATTTTCCACCCCAACTGGGGGTATGGCTGGCCTGCAAACCCCAAGTAGCCACTCACTCAGGCTGGCCCGCGCCCCCCCACCTCCAGCGGGGACCCCCACTCCAATTAGGGGCCCTCTGCCCCTTGCACAATCCAGCCCCACCCCTCAGGGGGACCCCTACCCCAATCCGGAGCCTCCTTCAGTGGAGGGCAGCCGGCCGCCACCCACGCACCAGGCCTCTATCCTATATAATAAAAAGGATAATATGCAAATTGACCCTAATGGCAGAATGACCAGAACGACCACTGGACCAGTGACTGTGAGGTGCACTGACTACCTCTTGGTCTCTTTTCCCGTCCGGCAGACTCTGACTTCCCGATGGCCACCCACTGCAGGGGCGGGACTGGCGAGCAGGCGGGAACAGCCGGCCTCTTAGTCCCCTCCCGCGGCCATCAGGCACTGATCCCCAGGTGGGAAAAGGAAAACTGGGGGCGGGGGGGGCCGGGGGGGGGGGGGCAGGGCCAGCTGCAGGCAGCTGGGGGAGATGGCTCTGATCATAGGCTAGACCTAGGGACCATGCCTCTGCACAAATTTCGTGTGCCGGGCCTCATGTCCTATATAATAAAAGGCTAATGTGCAAATCTACCAAATGGTGGAATGACCATTTGCTATAATGCATACTGACTACCAGGGGGCACATGCTCGATGCAGGAGCTGTCCTCTGGTGGTCAGTGCACTTCCATAAGGGAAGCACCACTCAGCCAGAAGCCAGGCTCATGGCTTATGGCTGATGAGCACAGTGGTGGCAACGCTAAGAATGTCCATCTTGCCGAAACTGGTTTGGTAGAGCATTGGTCTGCGGCCTGAAAAGTCCCAGGTTCGATTCTGGTCAGGGGCATGTAAGTTGGTTGTGGGCACATCCCCAGCAGGGGGTGTGCAAGAGGCAGCTGGTCGATGTTTCTCTCTCATTGACATTTCTAGCTCTCTATCTCTCTCCCTTCCTCTCAGTAAAAAATCAATAAAATATATTAAAAAAAAAAAAAAAAAGAATGTCCATCTGACAACTTAGGCCTGCTCTTCATGAGGAGGAGACCTAAGCTGTCAGGTGGACATCCCTCAAGAGTTACCAGACTGCAAGAGGGTGCAGGCCAGGCTGAGGGGGACCCCCCAACACACACACCCAGTGCATGAATCTTGTGCACCAGGCCTCTAGTCTTAGATAAGGATTTAAGCTCTAAAATTTACAGGGAACTCATACAACTTAACAAAAGAAAGATAAACAATCCAATCAAAAAATGGGCAAAGGACCTAAATAGATAGTTCTTGAAAGAGGACATACAGAAGGCCAAGAGACATGAAAACATGCTCATAGTCACTAGTCATCCAAGAAATGCAAATCAGAACAATAATGAGAAGCCATCTCACACTTGTCTGAATGGCTTCATCGACAAATCAGCAAATGACAAGAGCTGGCAAGGATGTGGAGAAAAAGGAACCCTCTTTACTGCTGGTGGGAAAGTAGACTGGTGCAGCCACTGTGGAGAACAGAATGGCATTTCCTCAGAAAACTAAAAACGGAACTCCCATTAGACCCAGTAATTCCACTCCTAAGACTATATCTCAAGAAACCAGAAACAGCAATCAGAAAGGATATATGCACCTTTATGTTCATGCCAGCACAATTTATAATAGCTAAAATTTGGAAACAGCCTAAGTGCCCATCAGCAATATGAGCAGGTTAAAAAACTGTAGTATATCTACACAATGGGATACTATGTCACTATTGACTTAATAAATGAATTTGGCAATGTAGCAGGATACAAAATTAATGCCAAGAAATCCATGGCATTTCTATACACCAACAGTGAAACTGCAGAAACAGAGACTAAAAAAGCAATTCCATTTACCATCGCACCAAAAAAATTAAGATACCTAGGAATAAATTTAACTAAGGAAGTAAAGGACCTATATGCAGAAAACTACACAACACTGAAAAAAGAGATAGAGGAAGATGGAAGGAGATGGAAGAACATACCATGTTCATGGATTGGTAGAATCAACATCATCAAAATGTCCATACTTCCTAAAGCAATGTATAGGTTCAATGCACTCCCCATTAAAATACCAACGACATATTTCACCGACCTAGAAAGAACTCTCCAAAAGTTCATTTGGAACAATAAAAGACCCCGAATAGCCACAGCAATCCTGAGAAAGAAGAGTAAAGTAGGAGGGATCTCAATACCAGACTTCAAACTATATTACAAAGCCACTGTTCTCAAAACAGCCTGGTACTGGCACAAGAACAGATATATAGATCAATGGAATCAAATCGAGAACCCAGATATCAACCCAAATCACTATGCTCAATTAATATTTGACAAAGGAGGCACGAATATACAATGGAGTCAAGACAGTTTCTTCAATAAATGGTGTTGGGAAAATTGGACAGACACATGCAAAAGAATGAAACTAGATCACCAACTTACACCATACACAAAAATAAACTCAAAATGGATACAGGACTTAAACATCAGACGGGAAACCATAAAAATACTAGAAGCATCCACAGACAGCAAAATCTCAGACGTATGACAAAAGAACTTCTTCACTGATACTACCCCTAGGGCAATGGAAGCTAAAGAGAAAATAAACAAATGGGACTACATCAAAATAAAAAGCTTTTTTACAGCAAAAGAAACCATCAACAAAACAACAAGAAAGCCCACTGTGTGGGAGAACACATTTGCAAATGATACCACTGATAAAGGTTTAATCTCCAACATCTACAAACAGCTTATACAACTAAATAAAAGGAAGATGAATAATCCAATTAAAAAATGGGCAATGGACCAAAATAGAACATTTTCAAAAGGAGACAGAAGGAAGGCCAAAAGGCACATGAAAACATGCTCAAAGTCACTAATTGTCTGAGAGATGCAAATCAAAACAATAATGCGGTAACATCTCACACCTGACAGAATGGCCAACATCAACAAATCAACAAAAGACAAGTGCTGGCGAGGTTGCGGAGAAAAAGGAATCCTCGTGCACTGCTGGTGGGAATGCAGACTGGTGCAACCACTGTGGAGAACAGTGTGGAGTTTCCTCAAAAAACTGAAAATGGAACTCCCATTTGACCCAGTAATCCCACTTCTAGGAATATATCCCAAGAAACTAGAAACACCAATCAGAAAGGATATATGCATCCCTATGTTCATAGCAGCACAATCTACAATAGCCAGAATTTGGAAACAGCCTAGGTGCCGGTCAGCAGATGATTGGATCCAAAAACCATGGTACATCTACACAATGGAATACTATGCTGCCATAAAAAAGAAGGAATTCTCATCATTTGCAGCAACCTGGATAGAATTGGAGAACATCATGCTGAGTGAAATAAGCCAATCAATGAAAGAGAAACACCACATGACCTCACTCATTTGTGGATAATAAAGAACATTATAAACTGATGAACTAAAAGATAGATATAGAGACAGTATATCAACAAGTAGACTGTCAAATTATAGCAGGGAGGGGAGGAAGATCTGGGGGAGATAATAGATCAACCAAAGGACTTTTATACATGCATATAAGTACAACCAATGGATACAAAACTCTGGGGAGGGAGGGGATGTGTGGGAGGGAAGGAGGGGGGCAAAAAAAAATCAATAAAATATATTTTAAAATAAATAAATAAATAAATAAATAAATAAATAAATAAATAAATAAAAGGAACTTTTAACATTTGCAACAACATGGAAGGAACTGGAGAACATTATGCTAAGCAAAATAAGCCAATCAGAGAAAGATAATTATCACATGATTTCACTCATATGTGGGATATAATGATCAACATAATTTGATGAACAAGAATAGATCAATCTAGAGACAAATGTTAGGTGGGGTGGTTAGAGAGCAACCAAAGGACTTGTATGAATGCATATTATCATAACCAATGGACACAGATACTTTGGCAGTGGGGGCTTGCTTGGGGTGGGAATGGCTGGGGCAAGGGGTCAATTGGGGAAACAGGAGACATGTGTAAAACTTCAGACAATAAAAAAAGAAAGAAAGAATAAAAACATATGCTAATACATTACAAAAAATAATGTAACTAGTATTTATTTCTGTATTTTTATAGTTCATTTTTGAAGATTTTATTTTTATTCTTTTTTCTCTTTTGTGATTTATTTTTATTTTTTAAATTCTTTATTGGTGAAAGTTTCACATATGTCCCCTTTTTTTCCCCATTGACCTCACCAGGCCCGCTTCCACCCCCCAGCACATGCATGTAACTCGTATTTAGAAAATGCTAATGAAGCTAAATTTATGCCTCATTAAATTAAATTAACCACTCCTGTTTTAAACACTGAGGTCATTGAAAATAGATACATATTTTTAAAGGGCTGTCTGATGTATTTCAAGCAATTTTCTTTCCTGAGAATGTATTTCAAAAAATATTATAATTTCAAAAATTACATGTAAAATAATCCTTACCTTGCTTGAGAATTTTGGGGATCTACATTTAATAAGGCTGTAAAATCCTGTATGGCTGAGTTCCAGTTTTCATTTTCATAGTGAAACATTCCACGCTTCAATAATGCAACTGTTCTTTTGGGATCATAAAAAATGCACTGAATGGGGAGGGTTGTGAGGTTGGATGGGAGACACAAAAACAAATCACATAATGGGGAAAAGACAAACAGGAAAACATATGAATGTGGAAATTAATTGGACTACAGCCACATTTTAAACTTCAGATTATAGAAAAGCAAAGTGCTACAGATGAAAACATTTTTACATTTGCATTTTAAAACCATGTCTTTAGGAAATCCACTGATCATCAAGTTCTAGAAAGAGGAGGTTTTCTGAAAGAGAACTAAAATGGCATATACAAGCAGCAAAGGCTTTGCCCCACTGAAATTTTTACAGATAAAATTTCAAAAGTGAATTGTTCAATTTGTGTTATATTGGCTCTATCAATTTTACCCCATTGTGTCCTCAGCATTCTATCCCAATTAAAGATAATATATATTAGACTGCTTATATACATATTAAACAGAATACACCAAGGCTGATTCTATCAAATAAAATATGAATGAATCTAATCCCAAAAATTGTAAAAATGAATGAATTGGTATTGGCATGATTCATTCATTTCACACTGACATATAAGCAATAGAGTGAACAGACTAAATTATTGTATACTCAGTTATAAAGCTCCTCACCATTGATACTGGGGGTGGTGGAAATGAAGCATAAAAATCATCAAGTCTTTTTAAAATAGGGAAACAAGCAAATGAACAAAAAAACCTAAAGATTTTTAAGTTTGTTTGACCTTATGTTATTTCATTAGTCAATTTTTAAACTATTGGTGCCAGATGGAAGAAATGAACCAAATAGATAAGCTAATGATTTCGATGTCTTCAAAAGAAAATATTGAAAAGATTTTATTCAAGACCAGAGGTTATCAAACTTACAATCTCTTAAAGCAAAATGATGTCAAGTATATGGCTAACCATCAAGGATTAAGAAACATGGCAGTTAAAAAAATGAAAAGATAAATTATTTAAATAACTTCTAAATTCACAACTGTACTAAGAACTAAGAATTAAAAGTCAGGAAATCAAGGTTAAAATTATTCTGCAATCAGAGGAATATTTTGTCTAATTATATAGAGTCTCAGTGTACAATTCAGCCAAAAGTTCACTTCCTGAAGGGAATTTCCTGGTGTCCCATACCAAATATAAATTACTCCCCCATCTTTTTATTTCCTTTATAGAAGTTACTATAATTTGTAATTATATATTTACTTATGTATTTATTTCTTTAATGTCTGTCCTTTAAACTACAAGCTCCATATAAGCAGGAAGCATGTTTATTTTATTCATGAATATTTATTCAATACATTATAGAATGCCTTAGAGTAGATAATAAATATTAGTTCGTGAATGAGCAAGTGAGTGAGTGAGTAAACACAGCTTCTTTAGAAGCAGATGGGTTTGCTGCAGAAGAGAATCAGCTGTGTCTCAAGAGTTTGGAAAATGGTTTTCTCTATTGTTTAAAGCGAAGAAGCAATTTTCAAATGTTTTCTGGAAAAGTTAAACCCCCCCTCAGGACTGACTCAAATCTCCAAAACCCAACTCTTTGATTAAATCCATTCACTCACTAATAATAATAGTTTTAAATATTTGACATAGTAGTAATATTAATTCCAGTATGATTGCCCTATCAGTGGTCAGTAAACTTATTAGTCAACAGAACCAAATATCAACAATATGATTGAATTTCTTTTGAGAACCAAATTTTTTAAACTTAACCTTCTTCTAACGCCACTTCTTCAAAATAAACTCGCCCAGGCCATGGTATTTTGTGGAAGAGCCACACTCAAGGGACCAAAGAGCTGCATGTGGCTCATGAGCCACAGTTTGCCAACCATGGTCCTAGGTCCTAACCTATAATAAATTAATTTTGATTATACAACTCTTTGCTATAATATTAGGATGAGAATATTATAAGCTAAAACATAATGGTAGCATTGTATGTGATACAACTCACTGTAGAAAAGTCATCAATGGCCAAGAATTTGTTTGTTAATTCATACATCTCACCCCTCCTGAAATATATATCAGCATCCATGGGCTTCAACTTGATTGCCTGGGTATAATTTAGAATCGCCAGAGTAACCTCTTTTCTTTTCCTGAAAATTTCTGCCTTTGACAAATATGCCTCTAAAGAAAATATAAAATGAACAATTTGGTGTTATAGTCTTTTTAAAGGACAAATTTTAAAGATTAATCCCTCTTTCTCCAAAATTCTAGTCTTAGAATATTATACTTTCTTAACCAATAATGCAAGGATTTTGTGGGGTGTTTCTCCTTCCAACAATAAATGTTTTTCTCTCAAAGTCTATATAAATATTTATTTATGGTTGAAAGTATTTTTAATTTCAACTGAAGTAATAAAAATTAACTATTTCTTTTTTGAAGGTCTGAAATATTTCATAATCTTTTAGTGTTTGTAGTAAAGTTAGATTTTGATGGCATAAAATTTTATGCAGTTTTAAGCTCATGATACATTCTAGGGATATGTGGTGGATGCTGGGATACAGAGATGAGTATGACATTTTCTCATTCCCAAAAACTTTCATGGGCAGTAGCTCGAGTTGGTTAGAATCCTATCTAATAAAAGAGTAATATGCAAATTGACTGTAACTCCAACATAAAAGATGGCTGCCCTCATGTGGTCAAAGATGGCTTTCCCATGTGTACACAAGATGGCTGCCACAAGATGGCCAGCAGGAGAGGGCAGTTGGGAGGGACCAGGCCTGCAAGGGACGGCAGTTGTGGGTGATCAGACCAGCAAGGGAGGGCAGTTGGGAGCGATCAGGTCTGCAGGGGATGGCAGTTAAAAGCGATCAGGCCTGCAGGGGAGGGCAGTTTGGGGTGACCAGGCTGGCAGGGAAGTGCAGTTAGGGGCAATTGGGCTGGCAGAGGAGCAGTTAGGCATCAATCAGGCTGGTAGGAGAGTAGTTAGGGTATGATCAGGCTGGCAGGCAGAAGTAGTTAGGGGCAATCAGGAAGGCAGGCAAGCGAGCAGTTGGGAGCCAGCAGTCCTGGATTGTGAGAGGCCTAGAGGATTGTGCCTAAATGGGTAGTTGGACATCCCTCAAATGGTCCCAGATTGGAGAGGGTGCAGGCTGGGCTGAGGGACACACACCCCTTGCACAAATTTCTGTGCACTGGGCCTCTACTATATTACATAAGGTCAAATGTGTATATTTCATCCAAACAAAAAGTCCTAGGAACACTACAATCTAATTCAGAGATTTGTGGTTAAGAAAAGACTTGTGAATCACTTCTATATCTAAAAATTTTTAAAGACATATTTTTCTTGTGGGATACATAGTAAGCAAACAATTTATTGTAATGTATACCAAAAACATTCACATTTCAAACCATTATTTTGAAAATAATGTAGGATCATATGAGTCTTAAATTTATGTCTAATAAATTTAACTTAGAAGTGTCACAACCTATTCAGAGACCTGGGTCTATTGATTTAAGTATCTTTGTAACAGCATTAAATAAGCACAGATTAGGTAAAGATATAATTAATATAACTGTCCGAACAGACAACCCACCTGCATTATTTTTATTACATTTAGTTATATAATTCAGATCATCCAAAGCTTCATTAAATTTGTCTTGGAAAAGATAAATGAGATGCCGGTGCCAATAGGCATTGAGTAACAGTGGTTCCAAGAATATAGCCTAGAAAATATATGTATAAATTCCATTAAAGTTGATTTACTAAAGGAAAATATACTATCAGATTTTAAGTACTATTGATTCCACTGGCTTTGTATGTGTATGATATAAAATAGTACCTCCCAGTCTGACAATCAAAATCTAGTACTTTTGATATTTATTATTTGAAAATATCAATAATATAATTTCACAATCCCAAAGGTACACTACAAACTAATTGTTTAAACTTTCAGTAAAAATTGCTATATACCCGTATTTGTTGGACCATAAGACGCACCGGACCATAAGACGCACCAGTTTTTAGAGAAGGGAAATAAAGAAAAAAAGATTCTGAAACAAATAGTGTCCTAAAATATTTTATGTGCATTAAAACCCAACATCACAGTCATAATCAACTCTGTAAAGTAAACAGCAGCATTTAGAATCATTTTAGAGCCGGGCAAGCACACAGAGACCACACAGAGCCAGGCAAGTAAAAAAACTTTTTTTTTAAAGTATATGTGTAGGCTATATTTGGACCATAAGACGCAGGGACTTTTTCCCCCCACTTCTGGGGGGAAAAAAGTGTGTCTTATGGTCCGAAAAATACGGTAATTATATGCAAGTTTAAATGTTAACATTGTTATTTTGATTAAATAAACTTACTTCCTGTAGATCATCCATGGCACTCTGTAACTTCCCCAGTTTCCTATACAGAGCTCCACGCCTACAATATGAAAATGCAGGATATGTTTTCTTACTATTTATATCTTCAGTCAAGATCTTCACTTCAGATTCATAATGTTTAATGACTTCTAGAGGAAGATCACACTTCAAAGAATCATTCAGTTCTAGTTCTAGCGGTTCTTTCTCTTTGACAGGAAAGTCTTTCTGAACAATTATTTTAACAACTTTCTCTTCTTTTGTCTTCTGATATATTTCCTTAGAGAATATATCAAGAACCCATGTTCGAACATCACTATTTTCTGGAATTCCTCCCTTACGTTGGACAAATTTTTCAAAATTTAAATACGTAGGCAGGCTCGGGCTCCGAAATTGACGTTCATATAAAGGCAGTTTGATCAAATATTTCTTCTGTTCTGGAAGGATTCCATGAGATGTTGACCTAAGTTTTAAAGAGTGATCTTTTTAATTTACAGAAATATAATTATTTTTATAATCAATAAACCAATTCAACCATAAACAAAATTACTATTTCTATGTTGTTCACCAAAGTCACCCAGAGACTTGTTAAACACAGGTTTCTGGTGTATTTAGGTGGAATTGGTGGTCACATTGACCAAAATAAACCACAGGGACAGAACGATAATCACAGTATTTTAATTCACAACGATCTGTGGCAGTAACTAATGAGATAGATAGGCAGCCCGCTAAGATGTTCTTTGACTTACTATTTATCTAAGAACACTTAGAAGGTTTTTACCTCTAGGTGAAACCTCTTACTCAACTTTCAGACCTAAGCCAGTTCACAGTCCAAAGCCTCTTACCTGACAAAAAGGCCAGGCCCCATTGAGGAAGGATCTTACTGTGTGGTTAAGAAATACAGGGTGTCCCAAAAAATGTATACACACTTTAAAAACTAGTAGCTCAATTTTGAAAATGAAAATGTATTTTAATGAACACTGTCTTTATAATTATTCAAAGTGTGTAATACATTTTTGGGACATCCTATTATTTAATGAATTATTCCCCCAAATCTTCCTAAGATTTGGGAAAGAGTAAATACCCAAATCTTCTGGGGCTTATTAGATACTGGCTCTAAACTTACAATGATCTACAGACACCCACTATGGATGCCACTGAAATCCATCAATAAAATAAATTAGGGAATTAAAAAGGCCAAGTGGTAGAAAGAATCTTGGCCTGAAACCACCTAACAGTGGATCTAATGAGACATGGGACCATCCTGTGATCATTCCCCCAGTCCCAGAATGTGTAGTGGCAATAAATCAACTTAATAACTAAATAAGGTAATGGTAATAACGTTTAAATGGAAATCTCTGGAACTGACCCATTCCATCCCATATCGTACACCAACATACTGGTAGTATACTAAAAGCAATGCTTGACCATCAGGAAAATTACAGATTAATGGTACTTAGGAATATAATTCATCTCCTACTTGTACAAAAAATATTTGCCTGTCTTGGGTGTATAGCGGAGCAAGACAAGTCAAGAAAACTAGGGTTGAAACCACAGATTCACTTTCAGAACCATGTCAAGTTTGGAAGTGCTAGCCAACTTTGGGAGCTAGCCAAGAATGAATGTGTTTAAACAAGCTTAAAGAGCTGATATAAAATGGTAAGAAAGATATTTCTGTGTTAATCAAGTTAAGGTTAGTGAAAGATCTCAACCTATAAAAATAAAAAAATTTTGAAGTTGTTTCATAAACTTGTTTCATACTACAATTATTATATCATACTACAATTCTGTGGTAATTTAATGTAAGATTAAAAAAAAAGAAAGTAGGAAAGCTGTACTAATGTATTATCTTAGATCAATACTCCCATAGTTTGTTTTATTGCCTTCACCTCTGCCTATACAAATTTCAAATTTAGTTATTAAAAATCAAATAAATATTTTTATTTAAAAAAAATACATTTTTATTGATTTTAGAGAGGAAAGGAGAGGATGAGAGAGATAGAAACATCAATAATGAGAGAGAATCATTAATCAGCTCTCTCCTACACAATCCCCAATGTGGGATCAAGCCCATAACCTGAACATGTGTCCTGATTGGGAATTGAACCATGTCATCAAATACTGAGCCTGCCAATTGGACAAAAAACAAATAAATCTCTTTAAATGGTTAAACTTTATAATCAAAATGCCAAAGGGCCTGAAAGCAGGAAAATATCCCACCAAAGCAGTATTGAATCTGCTAAATCCTTTATATAGATAGAAGTCGCTTCAGCCATGGCCAAAATGGTGCAGCATAGTATCCTTTCTAGGAAGGTAAAGATTCATAATACTTTGAAAAGAGAAAATGTATCAAAAATGTATAAGCAATCTTCTGATTTGTCAACATAGAAAAACCTAGCTAAAGTCCTCTAAAGATGATCTAACAAAAACCTCCCAGATATATTGTTGCAGGGGAAACAAACATTAAGTGGTGCGCAGAGAACTTGGTACTTGAATGGCGTTCTCTACTAGGGTTGATCTCTACTCTACTCTACTCTACTTACACCTACAAAGGAATATCCCACAGACTCCCGTCCTCTAAGGGACAAGTCACCACACTAACATATAATGAACCCTTTTCAGAACTAGCAATTATTTATAAAGTGAACAAAACATTTGTGACTCTCTTATCATCATGAAAGTCTTTACTTTTCAAAAGGGCATAAGTTAAGTGAAGTATTTGTTACAACTTCGGGACACTGAAAGAGAACAAAGCCCACAGCTTTCTGGAAACTATTTTGACAATGTCTGGGTCATAAGAAAGTTATGTCCTGAACACTTAAGTATTAACATACCTGGACTTTCAGTTGTCCTTAATTTAGGTCCCTCCATATTTTTAAACTAGATACTATTACTTTTGAGGTGGAAGAAAAATTATTTTTGTTGATCTCTGAATTAGGGCTCATAACATACAAAAAAAAAAAAACAAAACAATTTGTCTATCTGATTTATTACTCAATTCAATAACAAATTTTTAAATGTTCAACTCTAGCAATCTATTTTGGCTTTTGAATAGATATTTGTTTGGAGCAGAGGTTGGTCCTAAATCACTTCAGAAAAATAACTTAGTAGATTTTATTTCTTTCCACTAAAAGATTTCATTTAGCCATCAAATTGACTTAGTCTTCTTCATGCCCTTATATCAGCCCCATGTTCAATGAGTGTGATTATAAAGTTAAAGCCAAAACCACAATGCATTTCTTAAATATAACAATTATTGATTAAACAAGACCTGCTTAGAACTTTTGGAGGCTTGGATAAATCGGCCAACACAGTTGAAAGTTTAGAGAATTTCTTCGATTTCGTCTTCCTTTTCCTGGGGTAAACAATGTAACTAATGCCAGCTTTTCTAGATGCTTCAATGAGAGAAAGAGACACAGTTCTCAGACTGTGACTGTCCTCCATGGTATCTAAGATGTTATCTAGATTTTCTTTCCCCTGGGTGATTTCCTCAGTTTCAGTTTGCTCAACCTCCTGACGACGTTCCAATTCCTTAGCTTTCTGAAACAGCACCTCTTTTAAACTGCTTTCCATGTCATTCTTAACCTTTAATGGAGTTACGGTCTTCTCCTTACTCAATTCAATTGCAGAATGTATTCTCTTATTAATGAGGAAACAAAGGGGCAGAAAAAAATAAAATAAATGTAGTTGATTTATATTTAAAATTAATTTAATTACTATTACTATTAATATAGTTTGGTCCCTATTGAAAAAAAATTTTAAATCATGTATTCTTGATGTTTTTAAAAAGTCAGTTTATAAAGTTAATAATTGGGATGTAATGTGCAGCATTATAACATCAAATATTGTCTTGCATATTTGAAAGTTGTTAAGAAAGTAGATCTTAGAACTTCTCACCATAAGAAAATAATGTATAACTATGTGGTAATGGATGTTAAATAGACTTACTATGGTGATTATTTCACAATATATACAAATATCAAATAATTACTGTATACCTGAAGCTAATATGTTATATGTCAATAAAGTAAACTTTAAGAGTAGTGTCAGTGCCCAGGGATACAAAACAGCGAAATCAATGAGTCAATAAGAAAGAATAATATCAGAAATATAATAAGAAGCAGGATAAAGTTAGGCAGATTACAAGCAAGTTAAAAGCAACTGATGTGGAGAATCAAAAAAGCTACCAGATTTTTGGGGGAGACAAGAGGGGTCGTGAAACACCTTGGAGCTAGGGGTCAATGCCACTGAAGATAAGCAGCTGCTCAGAAATGCCTATGAATTCTTGGTAAAGATGAAGTCCATTTCATTTGGTAATAAGAGAGGTGGGTTTAAAGTACTAGCTCTACCATTTATCACTTTCTGACATTTGCTTTGTTTTAAAAGGTGAGCCCAATGCAAGTGTAGGTCAATATTGTAAGTGACTTGATTTCTAATATACTATGACTCTGAGACAAGTGCTACTGAAAATCTTAACTTGGAATCACCAACCACAATCATACATGCGCTACCAGTCACATTCAAATCCAAACTTTCAGTCAACTCTGGATGAAATAACTAGCCACATACTTCAGGAAAACAAAAAAAAAAAAGCATAGGTGGTGATTATTAGTAGTAAAGATAAATATTTCTTTTGAATAATAAAAAATGGAAAATTATCATACCTTTAATTGTGAAAATCGTGTGCTGCAAGATTTTGGGATATTTTCATATGATGCAGATTTTCTTAGGGAAAAAATCTGAAATAATAAAATGGTAATTAGGCCCTGGCAAGGTAGCTCAGTTGGTTAGTGTCATCCCAATATACCAAGGTTGTAGGTTTGACCTTCCCATCAAGGAACAAACAAGAAGCAACCAATGAATACATAAATAAGTGGAACAATAAATGAATATTTTTTTCTCTCTCAATCTCTGTTTCTCTGTCTTCCTCTTTCTCTCTAAAATCAATCAATAAAGAAAAATTAAAAGCGTAATTATACACTGGCTGAAGATACTATGTGTTAAATTAAAATATATGATAGTTGACTATTGGTAACTGCTTAGGTAAGTTAAGAAAATGCAGAAAGACTGATTAAGTAAGATTCTTACTAACTTTGAAGTCATTTAATTGACAGAGAAGAGCAGAACTTAAAATTTATTCATTCATTTCAAATTCTTTTTTAATTTTACCTAGTTACTGCATGCTCTAGGTAAAGTGCTATGTGCATTTTTCCAGTTGGCATAAGTGGCACAGGTGTGTGTGAATGTGCCGTGGATATGCTGAGCCATTAATCCCCATAGCCCTTGAGTTGTGATTGTGGAACCTGGAGCAACTACTGTCCCAATCATGAGTAACCTCAACCTTCTACTCCACAGGACCACACAAATGTTATCACTTATTATCACTTACTATTATATTAAAAGAGTTGGGAAGTACATCAGAATGTTTCATGAACTCAACCAATATAATAGTGGAAACAGACATAAAGAAATAGCTATAATCTCAATGACTATGAGATGGCATAAATCAGGTGTGAAAAAAACCAAGAGAGGGAGAGGTCAATTCTGAATGGAAAAGAACCTTGACTATATGGCTTAAAGCAGTAAGGTAGCATCAGGGTTGGTTGTGAAAGGCAGTGCCATTTCTATGGACTGAGAAGGGATTGCAAACATCCCAGGCCAATGGCATAGCCCAGTGGTCAGCAAACTCATTAGTCAACAGAACCAAATATCAACAGTACAACAATTGAAATTTCTTTTGAGAGCCAATATTTTAAACTTAAACTTCTAATGCCACTTCTTCAAAATAGACTCGCCCACGCCATAGTATTTTGTATAAGAGCCACACTCAAGGGGCCAAAGAGCTGCATGTGGCTCTCGAGCCGTAGTTTGCCGACCATGGGAATAACCTACTAGTATACACAAACCTAGAAGTGCTGGGATTTTGGTCCCCACAGACTCTGGTGCAGACAAAGTACAGGTACATAGAGGCTAAGTGGAGGCAGAGTATACTAGGAATTAGAATAGAAAATATAGTTGAGGCCAGGTTATGAGACTTAGTTAAGCACTCTAACTTTATTTGTAGGTGGAATATTTCAGTTTGTTAGGCATATGTAGCATAATCTTACCTGTATCTTAGGAATATATAATAGTGGCAAGAAAGAGAATAGATTGGAAGAAGCAGCTATTAAAAATGGGAATTATCTGACAGGTAGGTATAGGTACTGCTACTACAGTAGTCTAGAAAAGTGCAAATGGCATTTCATACTAGAAAGTATCATTTGTTGATTCGATTATTTTAAATGTGATGGTCGCTGCTGTATGTGTTATGGATAAAACAGTGAACAATAATGATATGACCCCAGGCTGGAGAAGAAAACAAAGATCAAACACACATAAGGACAAACATTTAGTCAATGCTATAAGGAAAATAGCAAGAGAATGATCTATATTAAATAGAAATGTTATCCCCTCAAAAAAAAAATGTATACTCTGACTATATGGGAAGAGGCATGAACACCTAGTCCAATTAACTGACTAGAACAGGGATTTGATTTGTCCCATGGGACTAAGACTCTCTACTGTGTTAACACTTAGCTTCCTAAAATATCATCCAAGAGGAATAGAGGGCTAAAGCACTATTGAGAGAAAAGTAACTGTTTCTTGCTTAGCATTCAGGAAACTTATTAGACCAATTATATAAAGTTCTACCTTTCTTCTTCTCTCAATCACTATCTCTTTCCTCCATGATTGTATTATTTAATTCACTTACTTGGATACACTGTAGTGAAAAAGATGAGCACAAGTCTAATCGCCATTTAGAGAATTCAGTTTTACTCTGTTTCATCGCCATGAACAATTCCCCATTATAAAAAAACACACTTATAATCATGTTCCTTTGATCACTGAGGACCTAAGCAAGAAGTGGTAAATGACTACAAAACCAGAGGTTTTAGAAATTTTAGGAAAACTCACAGCAGATACCCTGCCATTGATTAGTAAATAGCATCTTCTGGGTGTCATAAAGGCAACAAGTTTGAAAAAGAGGAAATGCACTTTCAACAAAGACACCAGCAAATGCTGTGAGGCATTTTCTGGATTGAGGAAGCACCAAGAAATCATTTCAGCATTTCTAGAAATATTATCTGAGCTATAGGCAGATAAAGCAACCAATCTACAAATCAGAATTAAAAGTATACATACCCTCATAGTTTGAGTTTGCTGACTTAAAACAACGACACTTTCCCTGCTTTCAGATAAAAATTTCTCAATTAAAATTCTACTTCCTTGAACACTCTGTGGTAAAAAGATAACAGTTTTAAATTACATAGTGAAATACTTTAAAAAGGCTATGATAAAATAAAATAAAATAAAAACCCTATGATCACTGTCACTCTAAAAACAGCATTATTACCAAAAGAGAAATGTATGAAAAGGCTAGACTTGCAGGAAACATTCACTAGAGTTGCATCAAAGTCCAGCTACAACTTTAGTATTTGGCCAAAACCCTCAGTTTGGCTTCAGCATTAGCCATTAGTCAAGTGGATTCACCTATGTTATTTCTGGCAACCCTAATCTTAGGAACAACCCGTGATCCTGTGATCTCACAGGTTTGTATTGAATCTATACACTTATCAACAGCAGGTTTATGAATAAAACATATCATTTGGATCAACTGTCAATGTTACTACTGACTGTGAACTACAAGTAAGCATTCTAAGTGTTAAACTAAATGAAAATCTCCTTATAATTCAAACTCTATCAGTGAATTTTTATATATGCACATTTATTGTTGTATAGGTAAACTGCTGCAGTGATTATAATTATTACAATATTAAATGTGTTATTTCTCTATCCTGTAATCAGCAATTTAGATATGCAGAAACAAACAATACTTATTCAATTTATTTAAAAAACAATTATTCAATAGAAAATTAGCTTTAAAAAGCGCCATGTAATTATCACTAAGAATGAAACAGATATGGAGAAGGCTATGGGTAACTTAGGCATCACCAAGTATTTATTTCTTTTGTACATCCTCTTTTGTTGTATTTCAAAAAGTAGTTAGAGCACATTGTAAGAAAATTACCAGACACAGTAAAAAGAGCCTTGGGTTATTTTACCATTATTCTTCAAAGACAAATTATATGATATGCAAGAAATTTTGGAACAATTTTGTCATATGCCTATACAAAGTATTTAAATATGATGGAATAACAGCAATTATATACAGGGTGGAGCTAAAGTAGCTTTACAGTTGTTTGTATAGAAAATAACACAATAATTAATTGAAAATACAAGAATAAACTGTGTTTCATTTACAACTGTAAACCTACTTTTGTCTCAGCTGTATTTAGAAGAATGCTTTTGCCAATAACAAGGACAAAGCCTTAATACAGTAGGTCCTAGAGAAACGTTTTATAACATTCATGCGATGCCATGGCAACTTAACTATGTTTATATCAATTAGCTTATGGTAAAGTCAGTTTTATTGCATGTCATTTTGCTTTAAGTCATGGAACCTATCCACAATGATAAGTGAGGACTTACGGTAGTGTATTTCACAGATATTAAAACAGCAAAACTTACTATCAATTATTGCCAGAGAACATGAGTCATATGTTGGAATCTGTCAAAATATTGCCCAAAATAATTTTTGGAGAAAGTGGACTATCTGGCATCAGGTTGGAAAGTGAGGGTGGCTTTCTCACAGAGATGCGTGCAGGAATCATTGTTTACTGCACCAGGGTGAAGGATGCTTCAGTGCAGTAAACAATGCAGAACTTGTAAACATGAAGACACAGAGAAGGCTGGCTAGCAGCCATCACTGGTTGCCAGGCCCTAGTTATTCCCTAAGACCCCGCCCAACCCAATTTACAAACCCATCCCATCTGTGCACAGAGGTTTTTGCATATGAATGGCCTGCCTTTTCGCAGCTTAACCTAACAAACTTCAGCTGGGTCAGGCAGCTCCAAAACTTTCAAACCCCAAACAAAGAGGAGAAATCTGCAGATCTCACTGTACTTCCTGCTGGGTGCCCTCAGACAGTAGCTGACTTGCACCTCCTTGAAGATACGGGAGCCAGTGTACCTAGTGGGCAGTGTAAGATGCCACCAGATTTCAATTCTTCACATCCATAAGCAACACACTCAAGAGGCAGACTCAGTGAGTACCAAAGCCCCCCTGAAGCATAAGCGTGTCTCCAGCACAATTCTTCCATTATAGACACAGCTGATCCTCACAGCCAATTGGCCTGGAGGTCAATTACTCCCTGTGTACCAACAGCAATAATAACAACAAGACTGTGCACCCAACCCACAAAGGGGTGCACCAAGATTGTCCACTTCACGTGATTAGAGAGGCTGAGCCACTGGGCCCTGTAGGTCAACTACCACACAAAGCCACTTCATCAACGCAGGGAAGCAGCCAAAATGTGGAGACAAAGAAACATGTCATGAATGAAAGAAATGGAGAAAAGAAAACTACTGGATATAGAGTTCAAAATCACAGTTATAGGTTCCTCAAGATTCTTCTAGAAACTGCAGAGAAACTTAGTGAGTCTTCCCAGAAACTTAGTGAGACCTGCAAGGATCTTAATGAGAATACCGAAAAAAAATGAAAAAGAACCAGTCAGAAATTAAGCACACACTGTCTGAAATAAAGAATAATATACAGAAATAGAACAGTAGACTAGAGGACCCGAAGAGTCAAACCAATCTTCTTGAAGACTGAAATGTAAGGAAGCAAAAAAAACTCCCCTGTGAAGCCATCTGGTCCCCAGCTTTTGTTTGCTGGAAGCTTTTTGATGATTGCTTCAATTTATTCCATAGTTACTAAACTATTGAGATGTTTAGATTCTTTCTGATTGAGTTTTGGAAGGTTGTATTTTTCTAGAAATATGTCTATTTCCTCCAGGTGGTTCAGTTTGTTGGAATAGAGTTGTTCATTGTATTTTTTTTTTTTTTAACAATCTTTGGATTTCTGTGAGGTGTATTATTTTTTCTCCTCTTTTGTTTCTGATCTTGTTTATTTGGGTCCTTTCTCTTTGCTTCTTGGTGAGCCTGGCAAATTTGGTTTATCCTTTCAAAGAATCAGCTCTTGATTTTGTTGATCTTTTGTATTGTTTTTTTTGGTCTCTATGTCAGTGGAGACTGGTCTTTATTATTTCCTTCCTTCTGCTTACACAGGGTTTTCTTGTTGTTCTCTTTCTAACTCTTTGAGTTGCAGGATTAGGTAATTTATTATCATTGTTTCTTGTTGTTTTTTTGCAGTAGGCTTGTAGAGCTATGAACTTCCCTCTCAAGACTGCTTTTGCTGTGTCCCATAGATTTTGGATTGTTGTGTTTTCATTGTCATTTGTTGCTATGATGCTTATTATTTCTTCTTTCATCTCTCTGGTAACCCAATCATTGTTTAATAGCTTGCTATTTAATCTCCATGTGTTTGACTTTTGGGGGGATTATTTTTGTTGTAGTTTATTTCCAGTTTTATGCCACTGTGATCTGAGAAGATGCTTAATATGATTTGTATCTTTTAGAATTTGAAGAGACTTTGCCTGTGACCAATATATGGTCTATCTTTAAAAATGACCCATGTGCACTTGAGAAGAATGTATATTTTGTGGCGTTGGGGTGAGACATTCTGAAGATGTCAATTAATTCTATCTGATCTAGTGAATCATTTAGGATTGATGTTTCTTTGCTGATTTTTTGTTTAGAGGATTTGTCCAATGGTGATAGTGGAATATTTATATCCCCTACTATGATTGTATTGCTGTCAATCTCTCCCTTGATATCCTCCAGAGTCTTTTTATATATCTGGGTGCTTCTGTATCAGTTATGTATATGTTTACCAGAGTTATTTCTTCTTGTTGGATTGCTCCCTTTAGTATTATGAAGTGGCCTTCCTTATCTCATTTTCTATCCTTCACTTTGAGATCTAATTTGTCAGAGATAAGTATTTCTACCTCAGCTTTTTTTTTAAATTTCCATTCACCTGAAATACTTTTTTTCCATCCCTTCACCATCAGTTAGTGTGTGTCTTTTTTTCTGAGGTAGGTTTCCTGTAGACAGCAGATATATGGGTCATGTTTTCTTATCCAATCTGTTACCCTATGTCTTTTGATTGGAGCATTTAATCCATTTACCTTTAAAGTTATTATTGATAGGTACTTGTTTGTCGTCATTTTTATTCTTTACCCAGTGTTCCTTCTTTGCTTCCTATTTCTTTTTTTACAGCAGACCTTTTAACATTTTTTGCATTGCTGGTTTGGTAGTAATAAACTCCCTTAGTCCTTTTGTGTCTGTGAAAGTCCTGATTTCACCTTCAATTTTGATTGATAGGCTTGCTGGGTACAGTTCTCTTGGATTCAGACCTTTCCTTTGCATGACTTTGTATATTTCATTCCATTCCCTTCTGGTCTGATGTGTTTCTGTTGACAAATCAGTCACTATTCTGATGGGGATTTTTTTGTATGTAACTTTCTGTCTCTCTCTAGCTGCTTTTAAGATTCTTACTTTGTTGTTGGTGCTTGCCAATTATAATATACCTTGGTGTCAGTCTTTTGAGGTTCATTTTGCTTTGGGACTCTGTGAGCTTCTTGGATTCATGTGGCATTTTTCTTCCCTATATCAGGAAAGTTTTCTGATATTATTTCTTCAAACAGGTTTTCTGTTCCTTGCTCAGTTTCCTTTCCTTCTGGCATGCCTATTATGCAGATGTTGTTTTGTTTCATGTTGTCCCAAAGTTCCCTTAGGCTCTCCTCATGCTTTTTGGAAGCTGGTCTACTTGGGTATTTTTTCCTACGTTGTCTTCTAGCTCACTTATGTGGTCCGCTGCTGCTTCTAGCCTACTCTTGATGCTTTCTATTGAGTTATTTATAGCAGCAATGTCATTTTTCATTTCTTCTTTGATTTTTCTTCATTTCTTCTTGGTTCTTACACATATTGTCAAATTTGTCTTCCATTCTTTTCATCCACCTTATGATCATTTCTCTGAATTCTTTCTCTGACAGGTTGCTTGCCTCCATTTCATTTACTTCCTTTTCTGGTGATGCCTGGTTTTCTTTCATATGTGGGCTGTTTCTTTGTCTCCCCATGATCTTTCTTCCCTGTGTGTCTGGTTATGTAGTTCTCTCTCTCCTTATCCCAGGCAAAATCTGACCTTTTTGTGAGAGAGTGTAGAGCTCCTCTGAATCGCATGCTTGAGACACTTGGGGGGCTGGTGTTCTCAGGTTCACAGCTGTCTGGTGAGTGCCATAATTGTAGATTCCCAGGCTTTTTAGCCATCCTTTAACATCCACTTTCCCCTTCATATAGCATGGTCTCCATGTCTGAGTGGGTCACTCCAGGAGGGAACCCAGCAGCAGTGGGGATTGCCCAGTCAGGGGAGCCCTGTCTAGCAGTCCTCCACAGTCTCCTGGAGTATGTCTGTCCCTCAACTCACCAACAAACACTCCCCTTGCGACCACACACTCTCCCTTTGTTTTCTCACTCACACACTATCTTGCAGTCTGCCTTCCCATTGGCAGCTATCTTCCTAGCCCTAAAAATGTACTTTTAAAAACAAATAAAAATACCATGAAGATATTCTGAACAATCCAACTAGTCTTATATCTTGGAACCACAGTTAAATTAAATATCCTTTCAAAAAGAAAATTTTGACTGGTTAAAGTACATAAATAAGTACAAAATTTTTTATATATAATCTATATATATAAAAGGCTAAGTTGACTTGCACATGTGTGATACATATAAAGCTCTTGCTGGTGCCAATTGCACACATGTGTTTTGATCTGTCATTGTCAATCATGAATTTGGTTGACACTTCTATTATAGAGAAAGGGCAAATAGCAATATTAAAATATTTCTTCTAACTAATTTCCTTTCAATGTGCATGAATCCATGCACCAGGATTCTAGTATATAAATATATATACACACACACACACACACACACATATACTATGGTTATATAAATATATGTATATGGAGGAGTGGGCAAAAGTAGTTTTATAGTTGTGAGCATGTGAAACAGAGTTTATTCTTGTATTAGTTATGAATTATTGCATTATTTTTCATATGAACAACTGTAGACCTACTTTTGCCTAACCCTGTACTATATAATTAAGTATTATATATATAATTTCTATAGTATAATTCAATCATTCTTAATTATGGCAACAGTTTTGTGACAAATTACATAACAACTGTCCAGTAAAATTTAGCCTAATAATAAATTATTATGTTATTAGAGACAATAGGGAAAATTCATTCAGTATGTTACCTCATAGTTTGGATACACTGTTTTCTTCATGACAGATACAGGAACAGAGAATTTTTGTGAAGTTGATTTCCAAAAGAACTTTGTAATTCCTGGATAAGCACACATCTTTGAAAAGAACATAAAAGGTTATTAAAAACTAATAAATGGTCTACAAGGAAAATACCCAGGCTCCTATCAAAATCATATCTAGTTACCCAGAAAGTGAGGTGATTGATTCCACAGTCTCTAAAAGTCTAGAAAAAAACTTTTTATATCCACCAGAATAGCAAAAATGTAAAGTTGACAATTGAAAGTGGTGCCCAGAGTGTGGGGAAATTAGTAGAACTACACTGGAGGACAATGGTTCATTTCTAATAAAATGGGAAATGTGCATGCCATATGATCCAGCAATTTCACTCCACCTATATAGTATAAGGAGATTCTTAACCATGTGCATAAAGAGATATGTATAACAATGTTCATACTGCATATGAAATAGCAAAAACAAGGCCCAATCTCAATATCCATTAATAGGAAAACAGATGACTTAATACGGTATATTCATATAACTAAACACTAGTAAAGCTGATCAAGCACAAATAGTATAAACCATAGATGGATCTTAACAGTATAGTATTGACAGTAAAATAAGCAAGTTTTAGAAAGAGGCATACAAAATAGTGCCTTTATATAAATGCATATAAAACACACAAAACTACATTTATTGTTTCAAGTTACAAATACACCTATCTACCTACACTAATAAAAGAGAAATATGCAAATTGACCATACTTCCATGACACCCACCAGCCAATCAGGAGGGGTCCCAGATTTAAGAGGGTGCAGGCTGGACTGGGGGACATCCCCCATTCCCGTGCACAAATTTTGTGCACCAGGCCTCAAGTATGTGTGTGTGTGTGTGTGTGTGTGTGTGTGTATTTTTAATATGCAAATAGACCGAATGTCAGAACAACTGAACAACCTAAGAACAGGACAACGGAACAACAAAACAGCTGAACAAACAGTTGCTATGATATGCACTAATCAGCAGGGGTGTGTGTGGAATATGGCAGGCATTGGCAGCAGGCAGCAAAGCGCAGAATTGGTGGGCATTGGCGGCAAAGGAATGGTGGAGCAGATGAGCGGGGGTGCCAAACCAAGGTGGGTCACTGGTTGCTGTCATTGGGACGAGCCTCTAGTGATCACTGAAAATTCATTGCTCCCACATGTTGTGGTCCTGCTTGGCACTCGCACCTGCTGCCGGCGCCGGCCCCACTTGCACCCACTGCCGGTGCCTGGTGCAGGCCTTGATAGCTTGGCACTGTCAGCAGAAGCAAGCAGCAGCTGCCAGCCCCGATTGCCCTTTAGGGCTTCTCCACCTCCCCCTGCTCCTGAGGGTCGATTATGGCTGGCAGCCGCCTCTTGCACCTGCTGCTGGCAATGGCCCCATTTGCACCCACTGCCAGTGCTGGAGCCCCCGCTCACACTCGCTGCTGGCATCGGCCCCAATCTCTATGCTCCATCAGCAGGTGCAAGCAGGGCCAGCAAGGTCAGCCCATGGGAGCAACAGCGGCAGCAGGAGCGGGGCTACTGGCAAAGGGGACCAGTGGCCACAGCAGGAGGGGCCAGGCGAGGGCATGGAGAATGAGCTGAGACCCACTCCTGTGCCCACCATAGCCTCATGGTCCATGTTTCAAGGAGCATGAATTTGTGTATTGGGCCCCTAGTTAAAGTATAAAATCAGTGACTAGAAAGACCACAATTGTAACAGAGCCTACCCTTGGGCAAGGAGGAAGAAAAAATGGAACTAGGAAGTATAATCAAATGTTAATATTTATAAATTCTTCATAATATGTCCCCAAGTATGTATTAATTTAGTTTTATGCTTTTAAAACCTTTTCAAAATAAATATTAATTGAGCATAGGGTAATTTTTAAGTGGTGAAACTATTCTCTATGATGCTGGAATTGTGGCTATATGACATTACATATTTCCAAAATCTATTGAACTGTACAACACGAAGTGTAAACCTTAATGTATAAAAATGTTTATAAAAATGTTTAATCATTTAGGAGATCAAGAGGAATCCCAATATGGAATACAGAATGCAACAAAACAATCGAACTGTATTATAAATGTATGAAACAACTTCATAAAAAAAGGAGGAGGGGTGAAAGTTGCTGACCTTAATAACTGGGAAATGAGTAGACATATAATACTAAAGGCCACAGGAACTGTACACAGCTGATAAAGTGCATTCCATAGGAATATAGGTTAATAATTCTGATACATATATACATGTACACTTCTATACAAGAACTGAGCAATTAAGTAAGTGGGTGGAGAATGATAGAACCCAGGTTTGTCACTGTTGGAGTAAAGAATTTAAAGATGAGCGAGGGAGGAGGCTGGAATGATCCATGTGGTAATGCATTAGAGTTGGAGACAGCAGTATGAACTCATGTTTTAGACATGGATGGTGACATATAGAAACAGTTTTAAATATGTGTGTTTTATAGGTGTTGGTATACACACGTGCTTCCTTGCTGTGTCAACAAGCACACCTAATGCCCAGATTTTTACATTAATTACAATCTTTAATAAAGGTAACTAAGGCTTCCAGTAGAAATTGCTGATTATGTGGACTGAGGCAAGAAATATATAAGATGAGCCTAGAGTTTATTGTATTGCCAGAAATTAAGAGTTTTCCAAAATCCCTCAGTGGTGGGGTGTGTTCATGGTACATGTTAGTAGAAGCAAGTGGAGGAGCTCTCAATGACCAGAGCTTGAACTATTTTAGCAAAATAATAATAAATACTATTGGATTATAACTCAAAGTATAACATGAGTCATAGTAATATGCTAATTAGACTGGACGTCTTTCAAGCATCATTCCGGACATCCTTCCTGACAAAACCGGGGCCAGAGGGAAGCCAGTCAGGTCCCAGGTGCCTGCAGGCAGCCTGGGGAAGCCAGCCTGGGTGCCGGGTGCTGGGGGGAAGCCGGTGCTGGCAGCTGGGGAAAGGAAGGCCTACTCTTGCAAGAATTTTCATGCATTGGGTCTTTAGTTGAATATAAAAGGAAAGAATAGACAAAGGCCAAAACTGGTTTGGCTCAGTGGACAGAGTGTCGGCCTGCGAACTCAAGGGTTCCAGGTTCAATTTGGATCAAGGGCATGTACCTTGGTTGTGGGCATATCCCCAGGAGGGGGTGTGCAAGAAGCAGCTGATCGATGATTCTCTCATCGATGTTTCTAACTCTCTATCTCTCTCCCTTCCACTCTGTAAAAAATAAATAAAATATTTTTTTTAAAAAAAGAATAGACAAAGCTCCTACACAGACAAATTTAAATTAATTTTTGTATATACTGGGCCCCCAAAGAGGCAGAGCGTAACTCCACATGGCTTAAGTGTGAACTGCAAATAGTGACTTCCTCCAAAAATGGAAAAGGGGGGTGAGGGGGAGAGAAACTTGGCAAATGCTATCTTAGACAAGTAATCAAAGTTAACATCAACAGTGATAATTCATGTTGATATTATGAAACCTGGCATGATGCAATGCAAATGGTACCTTATCTCATTGGTCTTTCTCCCCCAAATCACCTCAGGCAAATCCTAATTAGTGGGTGGGACATTCTTCTAAATATTTGACCAGTACTCCCCAAAACTGTTAAAGTCATCAAAAATAAGGAAGTCTCAGAAACTGTCACAGCCAGGAGAAGCCTAAGGAGACATGACAACTGAATGTAATTGGTAACTTGGATGGGATTCTGGGACAAAAAAAAAAAAAAAAATTGAACATTATGTAAAAACTAAGGAAATCTGGATGAAGCATGGACCTCAGATAATAGTCATTTTTTAAATATTGATTCATTTATTTTATCAAATATAGCATACTACTATGAGGGTAAAACACAATAGAGATATATGCTCTCACTGTTCTGGAAAATACAAATCCCAAAATCAAGGTGTAGAAGGCTCCTGCTCCTGCTGAAGGCTCTCGGGAAGAATCCTTCCTGGCCTCTCTAGAGCTTCTAGTGGTTGCCAGCCACCTTGAGTTCCTTGGCTTGCAGCTGCATCATTCCATCTCTGCCTCCAACACCTGGCCTTCTTCCCTATGTGTCTGTGTTAACATGGTATTCTCTTCTTACAAGGATACTAGTCCAGTCTTATAGGCTTTAGGACTTCTTCTTACAAGGATACTAGTCCAGTCTTATAGGCTTTAGGACTCACCCTAAATCCAGGATGATCTCATTCAAAGATTCTTAATTAATCTATAGAAATCCTATTTCTAATTAAAGTCACATCCATCGGTACTGTGGGTTAGACTTTTGGGTCCACTTACCAACCCACTATTATACCATTAATAATAAGGAAACAGGGTGTGTAGTATATGGGAAATCTCCATACTGTCTTTGTAATTTTTCTGTCTAAAATAATTATAAAAATAAAGTTTATTATTAATAAAATAATACAGGCATAGGTTTGACTCAGTGGATAGAGCGTTAGCCTATGGACTGAAAGGTCCCAGGTTTGATTCTGGTCAAGGACAGCTGATCGATGTTACTCTCTCATCGATGTTTCTAACTCTCTAACTCTCTCCCTTCTTTTCTGTAAAAAAATCAATAAATTATATTAAAAATGAATATTGCAATAAAGTAAGTCACATAATTTTTTTGTTTTCCAATCATATAAAAATTATGTTTACACTATACTGTAATCTATTGTGTTCAATAGCATTGTGTCTTAAAAAACAATATATAGACCATATTTTTAAAAGACTTTATTACTAAAAATTGCTAACCATAATCTAAGCCTTTGGCAAGTCATAACCTTCTTGCTAGTGGAGGGTCCTGCCTCCATGTTGGTGGCTGCTGACTGAGTGGGGTGGCAGTTGCTGAAGTTTGGGGTGGCTAAGGCAATTTCTTAAAATAAGACAACCATGAAATTTGTCACATCAATTGACTCTTTTTTCACTCAAACACTTCAGATGTCATTGTAGGCTATTAATTGACCTAATTTCAATATTGTTGTGTATCAGGGAATAGGGAAGCCTATGTAGAGGGAGAAAGATGGAGAAATGGACAGGTGGGTAAGTAGTCCGAAGACACACATTTATCGATTAAGTTCTCCATCATATATGGATGAAGTTTGTGGCACCCCAAAATAATTACAATAGTAACATAAAAGATTATTGGCTACAAATCACCATTAAAAATAATAATGGAAAAAGTTTGAAATATTGCGAGAATTACCAAAATGTGGCACAGACATGAAGCAAGCAAAATGCTATTGGAAAAATGGCACCCATAAAATTGTTCAATTCAGGGTTGCACAGACATTCAATCTGTGTAAAAAAAAAATCTGCAAAGTGTAATAAAATGAGTTATACTTACAATAATTAATGCAAAAATAATAATTTTAAAAACAATTGGAGGTGAAAATTAACCAGGCACAAAAGGAGAAGAAAGGACTATTGAAGTTTTTATTTTGAGATAATTAAAGGTCTATTAAAGTTTTTATTTTGAAAATTAATTGCTGGCAATAAGTTCTCTTAGTTCTCTTTAATGTGAAATGTCTTGATTGCTCTCCATTCCTGAAGAATATTTCTCAAGCTATAGGACCCTGAGCTCACACTTATTTTCTTTCTTCAGTGCCTGAAAAATGTTCTGCCACTGAATATTCTGTTTCTGGAGCCCATCATTTCTGATGGTAAATCCATTGCCACTCATATTGTTTTTCTCAGAAGCTTGACTACTATGTGGCTTGGTCAATTTTTTTTGTTTTGTTTTGTGTGTGTGTGTGTGTGTGTGTGTGTGTGTGTGTGTGTGTGTTAAGATTTTTCTTGCTTGGGATTTGCTTAGCTTCCTGAATATATTTAAGTATTTTTCCAAATTGGGGAAACTGTTAGCCATTATTTCTTTCTATACATTTTCAGTCATCTCCCTTTCTTTTTCTTCTCTTTCCGGTACTGCAATCACACAAGTATTAAATCTTTTGTTAGATTTCCACAGGTTCCTGTGTCTCTGCTAAATTTTTTCTATTTTTTGTTGTTGTTGTTTAGACTGTATAAATTATATTGTTCTATTTTCTAGATCACTGATTCTTTCATGTCTCCTCCATCCTACTTTTGAACCCACCCATTGAGCTCTTTATTTTAATCATTACATTTAATTAAAATTTTTTGTTTATTTTCTATAGTTTTAATTTCTTTCTTAAAACTTTCTATTTCCTTTTTTCTTATCTGATGATAGGAAGCTTATTGCCTATGTTTTCTCTAGGAGTATTATTATTTCAGTCTTTCATCTATTTTTGAGTTCATTTTTATGTGTGGCATAAGATAGTGAACCAGTTTCATTCTTTTTCATGTGATTGTTTAGTTTTCAAAACACCATTTACTAAAGGGGCTGTTCTTTCCCCATTGCATAATCTTGGCTCATTTGTCCTGAGTTAATTTACCATATATCGATATGTGTGGGTTTATTTCCAGGATCTCTAATAATAATCTATGTGTGTTTTCATGCCAATCCCATAGTGTTTTGATTATTATAGCTTTGTAATATAGTTTAAAATCTTGCTGTTTTTCTTCTTTCTCAAGATTGCTTTGGCTATTTTGGGGTCTTTTAGATTTGTAACATACTACAGTTGTAAAAAAAAAAAAAAAAAAAAAAAAAAAAAAAAAAAAAAAAAAAAAAAGATGAAAATCTTACCTTTTGCAACTGCATGAATGCACCTAGAGAGTATTATGCTAACTGAAATAAGCCAGCCAGAGAAAGACAAATACTATATGATCTCATTTATATGTAGACTAATGGACAAAATGAACTGATGAACAAAATAGGACCAGAGGCATTGATACATGGAATAAACTGTCTCATCTCAGAGGGGAGAGGAGTGGGGTAGACTGGATGCAATGAGCCAGAGAACATCTGTGCATATATGCATAGTTCATGGACTCAGACAACAACAATGTGGTGAAGGTTGGGGATGGGGGGAGGGGTCCAGGACTGCATGAAGGGGGACAAATGGGGGACAAATATAATAGTGCCAACAATAAAAAAATCAGACATGAGAATCCAACCATCTTCTATTAAGCCAGAGATTTGTAAAACAAATAACAATCCTAGTTTCTCATCAAAATTTTTGTCTAAAAATATGATATTTCATAAAAATACATTATTTATGTTGACATATATGACTTTATCACTATTATTTTTAATAAACAAAAAATAAACATTTAGTATTTTCTCAGTTTTAATTTCCAATATTGTATCAATAGATATCATCCACATAAATAGTTGACTTCTCCAATATTTTTAATAATACAAAAGAGCCCTGAAATTTAAATTTGAGAACCTCTGAGACAGAGAAAACTAATATTGAGGAAGTTCTTACTTCCTCTCCAAAGAGCTGTAGGCGTGGTTTCTGATCATGCCATCTAGTTTCTTGTGGCAGTTCAGGTGGTATCACTGGCATTGTTGGAAGGTCGGAAACATATGCTTGATTGTCACTCATAAGAGGGATTCCTTGCCATAATCTACAGTGTGACAAAAACAATAAATTTCTTATTTACCTTATTGACAAACCAAAGGTATTTGTTCTCATTTCATATCTACATTGAGGTAAATACATTAACATTTGATTACTGTATTAAGTAGAGATTGTTCAGAAGTCAAATAATCCAAATGGGAAATAATTTTAAAATAATTTATGTTTGATTCTAAACACATTTAACTCATAACCTTTATGATGGTTTTGTTTTATTACATTGGAATAGTAAGTTCACCCTATGTAAACCTGATTACAAAAGAGATTAAAAGTTCTGTACCCTCTGATTGCTAACCTGCTCCCCACTCCAAACTCATGGAAAATGCTTTCATTTCTTAGACTGAGGTAAAGCATCAGCCTTAGCAAATTCACTTATGACATTAAAATGTCCTCTTCCTGATTCATATCTTGCTAACACAAACAGAAAACTGTTATAACATCAAGTTTTTCCTTCTACACTATAAACTGCATAAACATGAGGATATATATGAGGTATAAACTTACCAACAAAAGTCTTAATTAAGCCAAAGAAATGAGCTAAATAAAAAATTGAAGGCCTAATATGTCTGTAATGACTAACTTTCAGACCAACCTGAAAATCCATTAATTTTTGTGTTGCAGCACTTACTGTAAAAGAAATATAAGGTAAGTATTATATAAAGTGAATTTACACAAACTATAACTATATCAATTTCACCTGGAAGTATTAATATTTAGAGCCAGTGTTGCCTCTAACTTTTTATATATTACTAGAGGCCCAGTGCACAAAATTCATGCATGGAGGGGGGGCCCTTCAGCCCAGCTTGGACCCTCTCCAATCTGGGACCAAACTTGGGATTGGGCCTAAACTGGCAGTCAGACATCCCTCTCACAATCTGGGGCCACTGGCTCTTAACTGCTTACCTGTCTGCCTGATTGCCCCTTAGTGCCCCTCTGCCAACCTGGTTACCCCCAACTGCCCCCCCTTCTGGCCTGGTCACTTCCAACTGCCCCCTCTGCTAGCCTGGCTGCCCCCAACAGCCCCCCTGCCGGCCTGGCCACCCCTCACTGACCCACCAGCCTGGTCACCCAACTCAGCCTGCTGGTCAGTCATTTGGTTGTCCCTCGCTAACCCCCCTGCTGGCCTGGTCACACCTCTCTGCCCCCTGTCTGCTGGCTTGGTCGCCCTCACTGCCCCCCATTGCCAGCCTGGTCACCTCACGCAGCCTGCTGGTCAGTCATTGGGTTATCCCTCGCTAACCCCCCTGCTGGCCTTGTTGCCCCACACAGCCCACTATTCAGTTGTTACTGTGAGGGCATCATGACCAATTTTCATATTACCCTTTTATTAGTATAGATTATATGAACAATCACATACAAGCCACCAAATGTGAAGACTAAGTGTATACAAACCCACCTGACTTTAGCTTACTGAATCCCTCAAATTCCATCATTCCATGTTAGAAAACAAGCTACCCAAAACTAGGCTGGAGAAAATGGGGCTTTGCCAAACCAGAGTCATGGACAAAAGCTTCCTATTTCATGTAGTCAAATATTTGCATTCAGAGAGAACATAAAGTTCAACTCCCAGTATGGTGACTATGATAGACTGCCAGTCAACAACCAATCCATCGTAACTTTGAGGACGAACAACTAAAACTCTCCTGGAGCCAATGTCCTAGAGATAATTTAAGATCCACTAACCAGATACACTCACATACAATTGGGAAGACAGAACGTTCTGGTCTTTTGTTGGCAAGCAGTCATGGTCACATTGAGTTCTGTGGCAGTATTCAGTTACTTCGTGTGTGTGTGTCTGTGTGTGTGTGATTTCCAGTGAGCATACCAACAGGCATAGTGTGACTGGTGTGTTGCCAGTGCTGGTTCCAGGTTTCCCTAGTCCAGAGGAGCAGCTCCCAGCAGCCAGTAAAGCAGCTGTGTGAGTCTTCTGTGGAAGCCCTCCCTGCATAAAACCCATTTTTCCAATCTTTCCATTGATGTTATAAGCATTGAATTCCCATTACTAAATCTTCTTTTGCTTAAAATAGCTAAAATATTTTATTTTTTCTGCAACTCAGTCTTGACTAATATATAAAAACAACACACACACACACACACACACACACACACACACACAACAGGGTAAGGTCTAGGGGCTAGAAGAATGAGCCAGGAAAGTACATACATCAAGATCAGTAAAGTATTTCTAAGGTCAGGAAGCAGGTGAGGGACTTAAGAAGCTGCCTGAGGCACGGCTATATTTTTGTCTGTTCCTAAACCAAATAACAAGGTAGTGAGGGTCCTACACAACTTACTGTCTTTTCACATTCCAACTGTGCACTGAAGAAATAGAAATTCTGGTTGATTGGAAGGAAAGTGAAGGAAGTCATTAGATATTTTAGAATACACACAGGAAACCTTGGTGGGAAGGCTGCCCAAGGTTAGCAACTGTCCTTGCATGACAAAGATGAATCACTTACTCTGAAATTCTTCTCCACACTTTCCCTGCTTCCTTATTTCCAGAGGGAAAAACCAATCCTTTCTGGAGTTCTTCCCATTGGAATAGACCACCATTTCAGATGTTCAGATTGAGTCTCTTCTACTCAAGGCTCTACCTCACTCCCAAAAGTAATCACTAACACTGACCCTTCTCCTTCCAGAGAGTCTCGCAGGCCCATGGCTTTTCCTCTCGTCTGATCCCAATGATGTCATGTTTGCTGGTCCCTTACCTCCAAACTCTCCCTCCCCCACCCTATGCTACATACCCTGCCAGAGTTATCATCACATACTTTAATGACTCCACCTGAGCTCCTGTGCCTGGCATTTTGAATCCTCCAGTCTGGATACCATCTACCTGGCCAGTCCTACTTCCCTCCCCTAACACCTGGCCCAGCCTGCATTCACTCTGCAAAAGGTACTCTCAGTGCTGAGATTATTACAAGGGCAAACCAAATTACCATCCAGTGTGCCTATGAAAATGGTGAAAACAATGCTTTCAGATCTCAACTCCTCCATGAGACCTTTTTAAAAATCCTCACACGAGGATATGTTTTATTTATTTTAGAGAGAAGGGCAGGGAAAGAGAGAGAGAGAGAGAAAAAAAAAAAACAAAAAACACCACGGTTATTTGTCTCCTATGCTGGGATCCAAACTGCACCTACTTATGAAGCCCTGAATGGAAGTTGAACCCACCTTTCAATGTATAGAACGGTGCACCCATCAGCTAAGCCACAAAGACCAAGGCTCCATGAGACCTTTATAATGCCCCTCTGCCCGGTCAAAAGTCATCTTCGCTTCCCTAGTTTTCCTGTTGCATTTGACTTGTCTCTTTCATTATAGAGTATAAGGTCCAGTTTATTCCACACATCTTTTCAGAGTAGATCATAGGTTGGTTTGGGGAGCCACATTAATTCTTATTCACTTTCTGTTTCCCACCTTATTAGGTACTGAATAAGTACCGCTGAATTTTGGCTGAGGGAGAAGAGTCCTCCAGGAAAAGCCAATCTTAGACCTTGTCCTGGGGAACTAAGAACAATGTGTCAGCATGATGTGCTGCGGTGCTTCTCAAAGTGAGTTCTCTACTTAACATTATTGGCATCGCATGGGGACCTGCTAGAAATGTAAAATCTTGAGCCCCATCACAGCTAATGAATCATAATCTCTGGAGGTGGGGCCCAGCCATCGGTGCTTTCACCCAGCCCTGCAGATGCTTCTGATGTAAGCTGAAGGTTGAAAATCACTGAGGTACTGCAGTCTAGCCTAAAACAGCCCAATCATTAGAATATGCCTGGGTAGTTGCTCAGATTTCTCCTCTAGAGATTCTAACTCAGTGGGTTTGAGATAGAGTCTGAGAATTGAGGCACTTAGAATTGATTCCACGTGGTCCTCATCCTCAGGAGAAGCCTAAGAAAAAAATCACTGATATAATGGGGAGAGCTAGCTTTTGGAATGAGGCTAAAACACAAGGTTTTAAGCCCAGCTTGGCCAGTTAGTGTGCTATGTGGGGTAGGTCACTTTTTTGTCCTAAGTCTGTTTCCTCATCTATATATGGCAACAGTAATCAGGCTTTTTAGGCTCTCGTGCTCAGAAATAATATATGCACAAAATTGTACATAGCATATGCTCAATTAGTGGTTGATATGATAATCATTGTTATTATGATTAAGGTGACTGAATGACAGAATAACACCCATCTCACTGGAGTGATTTAAATCTCCATCCCTGTCAACATCCGTCTCCCACAGGGCTAGAGATATGAAATGTATTTCTTATTGTAGATTGCTTTCAAAAAGGCTTATAAAACATTTGTACTAAGCTGTGAGCACATGCTACAAGTCTCGGCACACATATTCTGTGAGTTACAAAAAGTGACCATGAGCTCCATCCTGTGAAGCATGGAAAAAGGCTCTCGCCTCCTTGGTGTGACTGGACTTGAGTTCCCCACACACATCTTCATCCTCCCTTCCTTAGTGAATTAATTTTGCTCCTTAGGGGTATAAAACCTCGGGGAGGCTTCACAGTCACTGTTACGTAACTCAAAGATGTACACAGAGGTATTTTAAGAGTGCTCATGTACAAAAGTTTCACCAAGTAATACATCCAATAGATTATTCTATTCCAGCCATTTCTTAAGGGCTGGTAGCAAGCCACTAAGTTGATTTCATAACCCATTTATTGGGTCACAATCTAAAATTCAGAAAACAGTAACTTACAGAAACTGTTGTTTGAAAAGTTAACTCCTAGATCTAGAAAAGATTTTGGGAGTTCACCTTCTTGAAGATGCTAAGCTACAACTAATTTTTTTTAGTATATAGACTTTAAAATCTGCATCAGCTTTAATGAATACTTTTTAAATTTTAGGGAATATAGTCCTGATAAAATAATAAATCTAAAGAAGAATAAGTGTTTAATATTTTTACAAAATATGAATAAGGGGGGGGGGGGAGTACTTTTAATCATTATAACTTCATTGCTATATGCAAACAGTGACATCTGGTGGAATGACATTGC